TCACATTTTCTAATCAGTTCACTCTTTTAAATACGGATAAAAATTAACCTTTTCAAGAAAAATACTTTTAAACTAATAGTCTTTAAAAAAACATTACCATTCTATTGATAATACAAATATTTTTTACACTACCATGAAACAAAAAAAATTATAAATTTGCTTAATGTCATGCAAATATTATTAATTAATCAATAAAAATTAGAAATGATTTGAGTCACGTATATTAGGACCCAGTGTGATGTACAAATATCGGTTACATTCTTGATCCATAAAGTTGAGAATTGTAATTATAAGATATTTAAATAAATATGTTGTTAATAAAATAGAAGATGAACTAAACATGATTACTTTGTTATGGGTTGATTGTCTATTTTTGTTTAAATATATTTTAAATTTATGGTGCTCGATAATATTTATATAGTTATAAATGACATCAATTATCTCATGTCAAATAGGTCACAAATAAATCATAACATTATATAAATAAACAGAATTATATCTTAATTGTCAACTATACGTTTTAACATAATAATAATAATAATAAATTTATCTACCAATTGTTATAAGAGAACAACTGTTGTAGGTGACTCAACATGCTGTTACCAATCTACTATTTATAAAAAAGTATATTATTTTTTAGTATTTGTTGGCTAAACTCATTCTACGTACCTCCTTAAATTTCCATGTTATAATTCGTAATTAATTTATAAAACACAACATTTAGTCTAATAATTAAATATATTCTTATATATTAAAGGTAATTTATTAACTATATAATAGTAATAACGATCTTCACTTAAGATGTGTTATATTTTTTTTCTAGAATCTATTTTAATGCTGTAATTGTATTAAATGATAAAATGAATGAATATCATGGGGAGCGAAATATGATTACACATTTTCATGTAATGGAAAGCGGTTACGTGGAAAATAGGTTTATAATTTATTATGATTATAGAATTTTATTAAGCTTATCTTTGCCAAAAAACCAAAATTAACAATTATATTATTTATATTATAAGTAAGCAGTTTTTTATTAATTTTTTGTGTTAGAACTATACAGTTGGCTGCGTTAGAGCGAGAAAGTATGAAATTCAATTGTCCTTTTACCTTACTTTCTGTCGTATTTTCAAAATAAATACTGTGATTTCAAAATTTTGTTAGACTTATAACTGTGACTCAGTTACAAAAGAAATGAGCTTTCAAGGTAGCCAAGAGGTAAGGAGGTTGCATTGCATTCCCTATGAAGAAGGCCTTCAGCATGAATTATTATAACTCTTCCCGATTTTACTTCCTGCATTCCCCCACATTTTTCGGTCACTTTCCACCATTTTTGTAAAAGTGAAACATGAGAAACTACCTAAAGTGTCCCTTTCAAAGTGTCTTTATTCTTGTGGAACAAATTCTATCACATTTAATTGAAGAATTTTGAATGGTCACTACAAATTTCTCTATGACTTTTACGTAATATGAAGTTTAAGAAGGAGAAATTTCTTTTCAACTCATAAAATAATAGTATTGAAACAAATTTTCAATTAAAGTGTTTATTATTTTAACATAAATAATTTAGTGGAAGATAAAAGATAAAATACGGGAATTTCTAAATAAAGAAGAAAAAAAAAGATGTAGCGAGGTAAAAATGTTGTATTTTATTTTCATATCATATGGTCATTTTGTCATCATACTTTCTCATGGACAAAACACAATAAATGAAGTTTTTTAATTATATTTCGTTGCTATTGGGGCCTCATGCTCCTATCCCCTTAATTCTGACAAAAACATACACCAGTTTGTGTTTTTATTTCTATAATGCCCTTTGTTATATGCATCAGCCAACCATACAAATTAAGGATACAATATTTTGGTTTTCCATTTTCGTGTTATGTATTTTATATATACTTTTAAAAAAAATTAAAAGCCTAAAAATTTCCAAAATATAACCAGAAATAAAATTTAGATAATTGTTTAGAAATTCAATTATATATGTCAAACTGGTTTTCGTAATTTTTCCAACATACTATTCTTAGATCTCTTACTATTTCATACAACATTTATATATAATATTTTGTACTCTAGGTAAATTATTTGTATTATCAATAGGATATTATAGTGCTATTATTTCCTCCCTCAGTGTCCATAAATTCACTTTCAGCTACCAAGTTTATTGAAGCTATAAAAATTCACATGTGAACAGTAGTAAAATATGGGTGTTATATGTGTGAAAGAGACGGATTAGACCTTTGAAAGTGAACTTAATGTGCCTTACAGATATTCAAACATAGATTTTTGGACTAAAACATAGGTTTCTAGGTTGGATGAAGCTAAACAACGTTTCGTTTCTTAGTAATATTACATTGATATTATCAAGGTTTCATATGTGATATCTGCTATGATTTTTTTAATGTTATTAGATTAAGAAAATATAAGCTCAATTGTCCGAAACATCTGTATCCATTACAGGAGAAAGTTGGAGTAGGATTGATTGGCCTGAAAATGGAACAACAGGGGCTTATTTGATTAAGATTTTTAAGACCAAGGATCCAATTAGAAAAGATGATAAAAAATTGTCCAATTAAAATAGGTAAAGGACGAGCAAAGAACATTGAAAACCTGTGATAACAGTTTATGTGCTAAAACTGTTTTTTATGTTACATTTTCTTTCTTTTATATCCCTTCTTATTCCTTGGTTTATCAATGAATAATAGTCTTTTTCTTTGTCTTCCTTTCTCTGGTTTTTCCTTTCCTGCTGCACTATAAACCTGTGATGGTATCTGCTACACTCTGATTTTCACATATTCTATTCTCGTAATCCAGTCATATATCTTTTTTCACCTGTTCTTAACACCACCAACTATCACTCATGGAGCAGATTTGTCATCACAGTCCTTTCTGCAAAGAACAAAGTTGAGTTTGTTCTTGGATTAGCACCTCAACCCACCAATGATGTTTCTTTTCCTGTCTATTGTGCAACAACATGGTTGTTTCTTGGCTTGTGCACTCCGTCTCCCCTTTTATTCATGAAAGTATCATATGAATGGATCAAGCTCTTTGACATATGGACTGATACGAAGAATCGTTCTGCTCAAGATGATCTTGTCAGAATCTCCAATTTACAAATGAGCCACCACTTTGTCTCAAGGAGAGTTGTCTGTAACTAAATTTTTCACCAAGCTTAGAGTTTTTTAGAATGAAATTGATAGCTTTTGCCCAGACCCAACCTACACATGTAAGTCAGAAAAGTGAAGACCGTGATATGCAACTTCTACCTGTCCCTATCAACAGATTTGAATCACCATTATACCAATATAAAATCTCACATTCTTTTGTTTGATCCTATTCCTCTCATCTCCAAAAAAAAAATTTCTCGTCATTCAACAAGAACGTTAGCTCATGACAACACAGATATTTCTAGTGGAAGATAAAAGATAAATACGAGACATTCTAAACAAAAGAAAAAGATGTAACGTGTAAAGATGTTGATTTTATTGTTTATAAGTATGTCAATTTTTATTGCATAGCTTTTTTTTTTTGAAAATGCAAAAAATAACTTTGCTTTATTTATACATATGAATATTCATATATTTAAAAAAAACTTTATACAATATTGAAATCTCTTTCTCTTCTGAATATTTTAACCGTTTTCGGCCCATATTCGCGTCCTTAACTCCATCCGCTGGGCAGCTTCTTCCTGCTCCTCCATAAACTTCTACTTGTACCCTTATATTAAATTCCGTTTTTGAATTATGTAATTCATAAGTTAAAAATATTTCTAGGTTGCCTAATTTGAAATTTTTTCAAAATATATAATTTGGAAGCCAATTTTAAATCTGGAAACTATTTAAAAAAACAAATTTAATTATATAACTTGAAAACAAAAAATGACTTTCAAATTATACCATTCAGAAGTTAAAGAAAGTTAAGAGAAAAATAAATTTTTAGATTACACGAATCAAAATTTATTTAACTAATAGATTGTGCAATTAAAAAAAAAAAGTTTTATTTATATAGAACTACAAAGAGAAATTTATGAAGGTTCAAGAAAAACTGCCACTTGTGAAAATAGAGGAGGAAGTTTTAGCTTCAAGGGCTAGGTATTTGGGCCCACCTCTAGTATTTTTCTTAGACTCCAAATTCTCATTTAATAATTTCTTTAAATTTCGTTATTCGTATTTCATTATTCAAAGTCACATTTTTGCAAAATAATTAGGAGTATATATATTTTAATTATTAAGCGAAACATGAAACAAAAACATAATCTAAAAATTGAAAAAGTGTAAAGATTAAACGAGTAATTCAATTTATAAAAAAAGGTAATGTTAGACAAGCTAAAAATATATACTAAAAGTATAATTAAAATGTGTTTCCCTTTTTAGAGTTTTGTGGACACGCTCAACACAGTTGTCATTTTTCGAACATAACCTCAAGACATAAAAGTCCAGACGAATCTTATTCAATACTAATAAACAATCTATAAATACAAAGGGAGAACTTCTCATCAATGCCAGAACAAGAACAAGGTCAAGGAGAAACCAAACACTGACCGTAACAAAAGCATCCCCGAAAAAACACTTGTTTCCCAACAACACTACCCGCACAACAGAACCACAACTATCCATAAATACCACTTCATAAACATTACATGCCGGCCCGCGAACGTTTGAGGGCCTAAACAGAGAAACCGGACCCGGGCCCATTTCGAGAGCTGACGACATCGGTGAAATGGGCTTTAGAACGGGCCTGACTCAAGACGTTTGGGCAGTTGTTTCTTACGGTCCAGAGCTGATAAGGCGACGTGTCGGTTGCGAGCCACTGCTCCACCGTGAACTGCGAACTAGAGCAGGCCGCGTGGACACCAGCAGAAGTGACCTCGACGTAGTTAACGTACCAGCCATGATGGGCCCCCGACCCGTCCGAAGTTATATTGATGGCGCAAACGGGCCGGTCCAAGCATGGGCCTCTACCGCTGAAAATGTCGAGATTGCCCCGCTCGTAGTAGTTGTGACCCGGCTCCATTAACCCGCCCCAGGCCTCGAGATTGGTGATGTATATACCGTCGCCGAGCGCGTCGTAGACCTTGAGTCCAATTATTGAATCGGTTCCTCCATTGATGGTGGAACCCGTCCGAATATAAACTGAGTAGACACAATCTCCGTCCTGCATCAAATTAACATAAATATTTCTTTTACTATTTATTGACAAAATTAAGATAAATAATAAAAAAAATGAAGAGTAACATAACAAGAAGGCTTACCGATCTAACGGTTGAGACGAAGCATAGCGAGAGTAGAGAAAAGAGAAGAGGGAGGAGGCGCGTTGGGGTTGCCATGACAAAGATGGAGAAGGAGTGGGATGGATTAAGTTTGATGACTAATGAGCAGAGAGTGATATAATATAGCTCATAGATGGCACATATAAATTCTTTCTTTCCCTTTTCTCTTTTTTTTCTCTTTTTATTGATTTCTTTTAATTTATTATAATTCACGATCTTTTTGAGTTTTGCACTTAAAATGTATATTTTTTTCTTTTAAGATAATTATAGTTTTAGGTTCTCTTTAAATCAGCTTGATTGATGCTTCGTAAATGAAATATAAATGATTTCGTCTTCAATTTGTCTGTGGTGAATTAGATTAAAGTTTGTATTTGCAGTGCAGAAAAATAATAAGTTTATATTATTTTAACAGTAACTCTATGTATTGTTTTTATTTATCTATGTGTAAAAGTATTAATCTGGTGAAGAAAACAAAAGACACTCTTTGGAGGGTACAATTTAATAATAATAAAAACTTAAAATATACATTAATTTTTGTTTTAATGATTTTATTTTTTTAGTTAATTGAGAATGAGGATAGTTTTAACTTAACCATTCTATGATTATGAATATGGTATGATTATGAAAATTGACTAAATCAGAAATTTACACGAGACTAACACTAAAAAATAATTATAATTTTAAAAAATGAATGGTGTGGTTTCACTGGCGTGTTTTGATGGAGAATTCCGTCATCTATTTTTTATAATAGTAATAATAATTTGTCGCTGTCTCGATTTAATGTCATCAAATAAGGGCTAGAATATGCTGGTCATCGCCATAATGTTCCATTTACATATAAAAATGAATTTTGAAAAATTACCTGATTTCAAATAAATGTTATTATTTATTTTTGGTTTAAATATATTTTGAGTTTGTATAAAGAAGTGTGTGTTGATTTTAGTCCTATAATATCTTTCTAGTTTTTCATCTTTCAAAAGTTAAATTCTTAAATTTTATCTGTCTAAAATATATGAATTTTAATATTAATTTCTGAATGATTCGGTTTTTTTAATTAATCGTATTAAATATTAAGATGTATTATATATAATAGTATGGTTAAAATAAAAATTAATTAGAATAACTAAAATAATTTTTTTGATAATTTTGGATTAAAGATACGTTTAAGAATTTAGTTTTTATAGAAATATGTATAATTTATGTTTTATTATATGATATATAAAATAAAATGAAAAGGTAGTGAATTTATGGTTGCCGACGTGATTGCGACCCAGGACAGGTAGCTGACAATAATTAATCCTCAGTCCTTCAAAGTTTCAGAATTCATTTCCGTAATAAAGATGAAATTTAATTTATTATTGGAAAATTGCAGTACGAATGTGTTTAGTTTTAAATAAAAACCTAAATTCACAATACTAATAACTAGCACCTTTTCAATACGAGTTGAGATTTAAAAATTTAAAATCATGTAAACTAAATTTTACTATTAAAAATATGCAACGTACAAAAATATTAGCAAATTCGTCATTAAAAGTTAGGTATTAAATAAAGAGGAAATTATATATAATAAAAGAAAAGAAACTCAAATATTTAATATGTACTATTTTAGCATATACATCATACAAGGTAAGTATTTTTTTTTTCTGTAATTATAATATATAGAAAAAAATTGTAATATAATAAATTATTATTTTTAAGTGTAAAAACTATATTGAAATTGAGATATGATTTTTTTGAAAAAATAAAATAAATATATAAATAATAGAAGTATGTAAACAGATGGCATGAAAAAAATGTATTAATTCTAAATAATTTTGAGAGATATGTTTATGATTGAAGGAATAGTGTAGAAAACATTTCAGAGTGTTAATTATGTCTAATTAGTTATTAATAACTTCATTCTCCTAGAAAATGTAATTTGCTGGGAGTGTATATTATTAGGATCCTCATATTTTAACAACAAATTTTAATAATTTTTTATAATGGGTCACGTGTTACTATTTTATTGGTCTGCTTAAATTTATCTTGAAAAAAATATTTGAAATAATCAATCATATATCGCCATTTGTCAAAAATTTGTTAAAAGAGGAGTTGATAAAAAAACATTTTTCATAATATTAATACATATAATGCACATGTGTGGATATTTTAAGTTTAAGTAAATTTTAAACGTAAACATAAAACATAAAAGATATAAAAATACTTTCGAATTAATTAATAAATAATAAATTAAAAATAATTTTTAAGTTAAGATTTTTTTTTTTAATTTACTTATGAAGTAATAAAGGTTTTGCACAAGAAAACAAGTAAAAACTAATATAAAACATTTACATAATTATTTGACATTATGTATTTTTTTTCGAATAATAATATTTTGAAAACATTTTTTTCACAACATTTTAATATTATTTATGTGTTATTTTGTCAAAAAAAATATTGTTAAAGTATCATTATCTTTTTTCTCTCTCACACACGATTACTTGAAATTTGAGTTCATAATATTTAACCACGAAATTAGTTATTACTATATTTTCATTAAATGCATTAAATTTCGCATTGAACACAAGTAAAAAAAAAAAGTAGATTAGACAAGTTGATTATGAGTTTGATTACATTTGTTTGTATTTTTAAAGAAAAATTTTATATTTATTTTCATTTTTATCCTTATCTTGTTAGTTATGAGATTTATGTTTTGACATCATTTTTTTGAATAGTAGGTATATATCATTTTCATGCTTATAATTTTTTTTAATTTGTTTTAAATATTAATTAATTAATTTTTTATGAAAAATAATCACACTAAAAAATATACAATATTAAATAATCAAACATATGTCATGACAAATACAATATCAATATATCACAAATTCAAATAAGCTTAATAAATATCAAACAAGTCCAATAGTTAAAAGAGATAATAAAAAGTTATATAACAAAATAAGAATTCTTTAAATAAAACGAACTTAAAACTCAAAAAAAGAATTTAAGTTTTAAATTAAGAATTTATATAATTAAATATTTAAAATTAACCGATATATATTTTAAATAATAATAGATAAACAAAAAATAAATTAAAATAAAACAAGAAATATTAAATATATGTTTTATAAACAATTTAATTCGATAAATTAATGTTTATGCTTCTTAAAATAAAATTCGTAATCTGAAATAAATTACAAGGAAAAATGTGTAAAAGATGAAACTTATGTAATAGGGTGAAAACTTTAATAATTTTATAATATTAGCAACATAAAGAAACAAAATGATGAGAAGATATACTTTGTGTAAACTAATCATATATTAATAATTTAATGCACATTTATCATAATATTAACTCAATAAAATAAATGTTTATGATTCTTAAAATTAAACTCATCATATGGAATAAACTACACAAAGGAAAAATGTGTAAAAGCTAAAACTTATGTAATAGGGTGAAACAAAAAAATTATGTAATAACAATATGAAAGAAACAAAAATGATGAGAATATATAATTTGTGTAAACTAATTATATATTAATAATTTAAAATGATACATGTAAATCACATTTTATCATAATCTTTACACCTCTTTAAAAAGAATATGTATTACTTGTATTCCTATTTTGTTAATGTAGTTACTTATCAAAATTAAGCGATAGATAAAAATCAGTTTATTTATCATAATTAATCAAGTAGATTTTTTTATTAAATAAACACAGTGTTCCGTTTTAATAAGAATATAGCTAAAAACAATAATCAATGTTATGTAAATACTTGAAAATAACCATTAAGTAAAAAAAAGAAATGACATTGAAAAGAACGGTTGAAATATATTATTTGGTTGGAGGAAATTGATTGGTTCAGATTTCATGGATGTGTACGTCTAATTCTTTCATTCATTTTTTTCTTTTAGTCATGGACGTGAAAAATAAAACAATAATCGTATATTACTTTAGAAAGAGTTCAGCTTTGGGCCTTCATCATATGAAACTGGAAAGATGCTCCCTCCACCACCACTGCCTTCTTCCTGCACCTCCTCAATTTACTTTTTTTCCAAAATTATCCTTAAATTAATTTTTCTTTTTACTTTTAAATTAACTTTTTATATTTTTAATTAAAAATCCTAATTCTATACCCTCATTCCAGCACACACCACCTCCCCCTCTCTCTTCCCTTTCTCTTTTCCATTTCCGTCACCCACCACCCCCCCTCCCCTCTTCTCCTTCTCTTTTCCATTTTCATCACCCACCCTCACACCCATGCCCCCCTCCCTCTTCTCCTTTTCTTTTCCATTTTCTTCACTCACCTTCACACCCATCACCTTCCATTTCTTCTCTTTCTCATTTCCGTCACCCACCTTCACATCCACCTCCCTCCCCCTTCTTCTTCTCTTTCCCATATATATATATATATAATGTGTGTACTGGTATGTGAAAAAAACGAAAAAGATTTATTAACTACTAAAATCTTATTAAGAAAAAGTTGTGTATTTTACTGCATAAAAAACAAAAAAAAAACTCAGTTAGCTATGGAGGCCTCAACGGATATTCATATCCGTTTGGTTGTGCCTACGGATGTTGATATTTCATTTCCGTTTTTTTAACGTTTTCATTACGGTAATTCAAATTTTAGGGCAATTGTGGAATGGGGTGGTGCAGGAAGAGATTTGTGTTGGTGTAGGGAGGAACACCCATGAAACTGGGCCTAGCTCTTTTATGAGAAGCCGTAATGAAGCTCGGGTTTGGGAGAGTTACTCCCTACACCACCCCCACATTGCTCCCAACACCACTAAGTTTTTTTTAAATTTCAAAACTATCTTTTATATTTAAAATATCCTACACTCCTACCTCTTTTCTTCAACGGATGTCAACATTGGCTAAAAAAAAAATTCTTCAACGGATGTGTCACATCCGTTGAGTTTTTTTTATTAATTTATTATATTTTAAATTAATATATAAATATTATTTAATTTTTTTACAGATTTATTATATAATTATATATAAATTAGTTATATTTTATTTAATAAAATAATTATTATTAATTTAATTTATATATTATTATTTAATTAATTTTTATATTATTTTTTATATTATTAATTAAACGGATGTGTCACATCCGCTAACTAACCCGTGGTGGGTTGGGTCAAG